TGATTATTGATCAGGAATTTTCGGGGGAAGCGGTGCAAAAAAGGGGCAAATGATTAAAAATCCTGTAGCTGATCAGACGTTCGATGAAAAACCGGAGGGAATTTGTCTGGAGACGAAAATGTCACCAACAATTGTAAATCCGCATTTGTGTGCTCCTGATACGTACTAATTTCTTGGCTACTTGCTATTCCTGGGTGGAATTCGTTCTACAGTATTTCTAATACTGAAAATTCTAATACTAATATATACTAATTCTAATATATTTCTAATACTGGTACTGAAAATGATGTCGTACATTCTTTCTGTCGTTGGACGTACATATAAAGTGTGAATAAATTAAAGTTTCAAGAAACGTAATGCTTGTCGGACTTTAAAAACATATTATCTAGATGCCTCGCATCACGAACTTGTCAAGTTTTTCTCTAAATCCAGAAAACTTAACACAGCTGCACAAAAATAAAATAAAATAAATGAATACATGTCATTGCTTGACCGGCATGTGCAGGAAAATACCCAGAACTTTGGGTTTAAAATACGTCAGCGTTAATGTCACGTTTCAATGCTGCATCACGTCGTTTGCCAACATGAGTAGAATGCTTGGCTGGTGAAGCCCCATTTAGTTGAAGTCATCGATTCAGATTGCGTCGGTATTTTTTTTTTTTTGTGGCTTTGTCCAGTTGTCTTTGGCTTGCGTGTTTCGCACTGAGTTGACCGATCACAATTTTTAATGGGCTTCTGGTGTTTCTTTCCGACGCAGGGATTCCACCACAGACAACAAGCGCCATCCACTAACGCGCCGCAACAGGAAGCAACAGCCGCAGCTTCCGCCGGCCCCGCGGCACCCGCAGGCAAAGGACCATCTGCGACCGGCATAGAACCCGATTCCGTGACGGAGGTGCCGGAGGGGCGGTCAGGGAGAAACCCGTCGATGCAGGGCAGGCCGTCGACGTCGGCAGCGACGCAAGATCAAGAAGCCGGGATCATCCAGCCGGATGGATCCTCGACCGCCAACGCCGACGTGGGATCCTCTGTCCGGGGGATCGGTCGGAAGCGGTGCCGGCAGTACGCTCCGACCGAGTGCTGAATCAGAATAGCTTTCGTTTCGGGATTCCCTCTTGTTTTTTGCTCTGGAACATTTCCTACTCACCGGGCAATGCCCAGCTTCCAGCCTCGCCGAGGTGAGCATCATTTGGGGGCTTCTGGAGACATGCAAGTCTCTCCAGGGGGTTTCCTGCTTTTTGAGTACTGTATTGGGCCACTTTCAACGGGCATGCGAGTGTTCATGCACCATCTTCTGTGTGTACCGCCTACCACATTTGCAGAGCCCACCCTGGGTTCGAGGCTCCAACTCCATTCATTACTACAATCGTGCCAAGATAAGGGATTGGATCCATTCCAGTGAAGAGTCCATGATCATCTGAACAGTCCGTAAACCAAGTAATGTGCAAGCAGCTTTATAGACTAGGTAATTTATGCAATACCCTCAAAAGGGTCTCTTAGCTCATTGATTTTATTTGGAATTTTCATGAAATGATAAGGAACAACTTCTGAATATGTTCTGCACAATGTAATTCTTTCTGAACCTTCTTCAAGTATTCACGTCCGATTTCGATACAATTTTACATGCGTTTAGTCTGACCATTGAAAAACGCTGCCAGTGCATACCTTTCATGTGATCAGCAACTTGTTGGCCACCAAAAAATTATCGCAAAATTCGCGCTATTTTTTACCGAAGACTGTTGATGACATCAGGAACTATGAGGCAATGCTGTGGTATCCGAAAGTAAAACGTCTACGGAAATCATCAACTCATCTGAAATAGGATCATCTGGGCTTTGGTTGCTGTTATCAGGCATACCATATTCATGCTCAATTATTGGACCTCGTATCCAGTAGATGAAAATCAATTAACATGCCGGTCAGTGTAAGAGGATCGACGCAACATAAACTTTGAAAATCGAAAGAATTTGATGAATGGTGGCTAAATTGACATTTGCGGGGGAAGGATGGCACACGAGTCCTTTGAGGTTTACATTTGAGAGTACTGTCCAATAATTTCCTAGCACCAACGGCATTGGGCAAATCCGGCATCAATGAATCGCGTACATAATTCAGCTTTTTTTGCGCACGAAGATGAAAGCCCTTCAATTGATGTACTTGTATCTCTTCTCCTGTGAGGGTTCAATAGAGTCACATATGTGTATTAGTTAATTGAATCATGCAATGAGAAATGTGAAAAAAACATTCGAACTCGCACGTTTAATTTATCACCAGGGACCAGATCCGGTTAGACCTGCCTTGGTGACAAGGATTTCGGATTCCGTAGCTTTTACACATAGGACTTAGTTGTGCCGCAGTTTGATCTTTAAAGTCAGGATGTTTTTAAGGCTAACACGCCCTATAATGATGAACTAATTCAGAAAATAAATCGATGCAGTTAACAAGTTGTACCAAAGAGCAACAAGTTTGTCTTTTAATGAAATGGCTGTAAAATTCTGGGATAAAGGATCACTGTCCCCGATTCATCCGCACGTCTTCGGGTCGTCAACTGCATTGGAACGCTGTATATTCAACCAAGGCACAACTTCTCTAGCAGAGCTTTCGTAGTCAGCTGGAAGTAATGATGATTCATGATCAAGTTATTCCAGCTTGCCTCCCCGGAACGTAGAAAGCTACCGTAGAGCCGGATGAGCGTGCTTTCCCGATTTACATAGCAAGTTCGTGGCTCACGAAGTTGGAATAGCTTTGATCGCGAGATTCAGAGTTTCGGTCGCGTCTGTTAATTTCCTAATTACGTTCAACAGATCGTCGGTTGGTCTTGATATGTAAGAGCTGTCTGATTTCCACGCGCAGTTTATAAAAAAAAATAGTAACCCGGTTGCTTCAACATGACGTGAATTTGGATTTTTTTGTATGCTTATTTTTACATTGGTAAGAAGTGAAGCTTGTACAGGTGGTACATTTGAATTCAGACTCCCTGGAATTTGACCATCCCGCAATTTGATGGTCAAACTTGCTGGGAGGTCAACTCTCAATTTGACCTCCGCCTTGGAGTTTTTGTGCCATCGATTTATGTGGTTCAGAGAGAAATCAGCACCACATTAAGGAAATTATTCAACCTCGGAAGAGGCTTGGCGAGCTTCACCAAACTTTGATTTGATGTGGCTCACTGGAAAATGAGTTGCAGCCAAAATTGGAGGCTTAGCTACGTTTGATATGTTACACAATAGCAAACGTCTCTAACGTCACTGTGGTCTTGAATTATTTCAGCGCAATTCGTTGCCGATACTTTTTGGCGGGCCCCGGAGACATTCTAAATGGAGCGCTCATGTCCGACCGTGGCTGACAACTCCAACAAGAATGCCGCTGGCTCCTGGACAAGAAAGAAGTTCTTTCGAAGTGAGACGAACCATCGGATGGCGGATCGTAGCAGACGGTTCTCAATGTGCGATACTGACATACGTATGCATGTATCAACGTCCTGTTCGAGAACATAGAAACCCCGGATGTTTTTTTAGGGGGGGGGGGGATCCGCTTGGCCATTGAAGCTCGCTCACAAGGCAGGATGCTACTTTTGTCGAGGTACGCGAAAGCTCATGGGTTCGGTGCGGTGGTGGAGTCCTTTTTGAAAACGCTTGGTCGCAGCCTCGCGGGAATTTTTCTTTGCGTCTTTTGAGATGGAATAGAAAGATGCAGGATCTCGTCGGAAGAGCTTATTTCGCAAATTGCATTCGCTAGTCGGCGTTTCATTCGTTTGATTGTCACGAGAGTTTGCGAATTTTAGGGATTAAATAAACCAATTTGTTTCCTTTTTACTTGCAATATACGTATTCTCAGCTTAATCTCTCGGGTGTCCGAATCGATAGCATCGAATCCTCAAAATATTAAAAATTTGACTCAGGATTAGACGACACCTCCTCTACGCATTGAACGTCAGGTTCTGTACATTCGGGCGGCATCTGTCCTCATCCAGGAAAGTCTGGAAATTGGAAGAGAATCGTTGCTGTTCAGGTTTCGGGGCCAAAGAAAGAAAGAAAAACTCGAAAGAAAAACTTGAATTAATTTTCGAGAAGTCATCTCTATTCCTGCTGTTGGAAGCACGAAGTACTGCACTTCGCTGTAAATCTTTAATCGTTCACGACGTTCATGCGTATTACAGCGTCATTCTCTGAGTTTGCATTCGAAAAATCATATTGTAAGAAGCAAAATAATGTACCGTATGTATATCCGAAGTTTTGGGATTCCCTGGAAGACGAAAAGGAATGGGAACGATCGATGCCAACGACTTCAGGTCCATCATTTACTCTGAACAAAAAGTATTCTCTTTTTTTAACGGAATTGTGAATTGCTTGATTCCAGCTGTAAATGAAAAGATTGAAATGTATCCCATTATGTTTTACATGACGTGCGATTTTCCCTGTTCCAGGCAATTTTTCCCGCATGTACGCGCTGTAAATTTGAAAAACAAAACACCGAAGATAAAGTTGGTGTTCTCGTACCAACTTTTTTCAGTGCCTGCTTGATTTTGTTGTTGTTCAGCATCACAGCATGCCTTCGAATGATTTATAAGCAGCCAGACGAAAATAAGTTACAGTAATACTCCATTTCACTACGTGAAGTGATACATCGCGGTCGTCATATTGCATTTTCAAGGTGAAGAGCAAGCCAACTGTAAATTTAAAATTTGGACCCCGAACTGAATTTCCCAAGATGCTCAAAAAAATACTGTAACTTCATCTCGACGAAAGCTTCGTTACTTGGAAGAATCGGGATCTCTGATTTCAAGCGTGCAGCCAGGTTTACATTCTTTCAATTCAATCGTCACAGTGTTTACATCAAACGTAGTCTTTTTGTTCAGCTCACAGATGTAAGAAGCTCGAATGTGCACAGTACTGTACACTTGAACTTGTATGTTCGCAAATGCAATATTATTCTGCATCAATCCTTTCTCAGCCTGAAAGAAGAATTCTCGCACGATTAGGGGGAAATGAATGCAGTCGTTCTTTCAGCAAATCATATTTACTCATACGAGCAAAAATCGAGAGACATACATATTCCATCTTCCGATATAATTCCCATCCGCTTCATCTTCCGAGTTGAAGAGGATCGTGGAGGAAACCGCGAGGAAAAACTTGGGGCATTTGCAGGCGTTCAGAAGCGGCGCACTACTCAAAACCCCAATTAAGCGTAATCTCCACGGAAAAAGAATCACAATCCCCGACAGTGCTTCACGAAAGCAATGTGGATACACAGGAACTACTGCGACAAACCGATGGGTGAAAGCAGGCATTCGACTTCATCTCACAGGGGACAAACGAATGCAAACAAGTCCAACAACGGAGATCACGGGACACATTCGAAGGGCCTTTCCCTGGGAGGGGAGTATCACTGGGTTCACTTACTGTTCGATTGATTTAAGGGGAATCCAAACCACTTCCGGATCGGCCGACGAGGACCGGAGGCAACATTCGAAAAATCCAGCGGATTCATGGGAGATTAAAATGAATAATAACGTCTCAACTCAAGAAGTATCACAACTTACACAATCTCTAATCGATCATTCTGAGATTTTTCCAACCGCTTTCATTCCAACAATCCGCGGCAGCCGCAGGATTAGCTGCAAGTTTGGGTCAACACCGAGAGGGGGAAGTGGGACAGAAATTTAAGCTGGATATTCGCGCGAACAATCCGGAAAAGAAAAGAGGGAGAAAACTGTAATAGTACCCCCTATCCGTCGTGATCGACGCGATAGACTCATCGGCATTGCCTATATTCCCGCTCTCTACGTCCACGAATTTTGTAACCTCCTCTGAGTAGATACACGGCAATATACAAATTCTTCAACGCATCTTGCACCTCTTTTTCAGAGTCCAGCAGTGCCGGGATACCGGGAAAGTGCCGATCGATCCACAATTCTCCTGCTGGAGCGAGCCTCGAGAGCTCATCGAGGTTTTCTTATTATTCACGGGATCCCAGCGAAGACCAATTCAATAGAAAATTAGGACAAAATCAAGATTTTTGTACTAAACGTTTCCCAGATATTGAAAAGTTGACACTTGCTCGAGCAGGCTTCTCTAGCGATGCAGTAGGGGTGCTTAGAACGGGGTCAGAACTTCTGCGCTCACTGGAATTTGCTGACAACAAAAAGCGTTCTCCTCTTTTTCCTCATTCCAAAATGATTTGAAAATAGGAGAACTAAGTATAATCATCACAGGTATCCCTTTTCCGCGTCAATCCTTCTGTAAACGACCAGCACGAGCTCAACGTCTTCCGACTTCGGGAGAAGTACACGAAGTCCGGGACAGGGGATTCAACAAAAAAAAGTCATCGAGACCATGAATTCAGGCTTTCGTCCGTGACCCGAAAAATAAAAATAACATTCTTTCCCCGGCGTCCGGGATTGCGTCTTACGCGGAACAAACGAAGTGCATAGTGCGTATTTCTTTTTTCTTCTTTTTGGCAACAAGGACATCATGGGAATTCCCACTGCGCTCATCGATTCAAGCCCACCAGAGACATACAGCACCTTCGTTGCACGACGCTGGGGGTTTTGAACCACTAACATCGACACTGCAAAGCGACACCGGATGGGTTTTACACTTCCATTTTGGCACGGATCGCCAGCGCGGGAGCGTGCACAGGAATTGCCAAGATTTTCTTGGAAAGGTTGAGCGGTGCGACAGCGTCCGGGGCTTCCTCGGCCAGGAAATCCGGATTGGGATCCACGTCGATCGGCAGGCACCGAGATGTTCTCTCCATAGGTGCGGCAGTTTTCCAGCAGCCCGACGGGTGTAAAGCTGCAGAGGAATCAGACGGCGAGTCTGGGCTCGGGGAAGGCGGATGCGATCCCGAGTTTCCGCCCACGAGGCGCGGGTGGACATGGATTGGCGGCTGAATCGGACTCGGTGGATGATATCCGTAGGCGTGGGAAGTGGAGGCCTGCGGCGAGCCAATCGGTGTAGATGCGGTGAGGCATGAAGTCAGGGCGGACATTGTGCGGGATCCACCGCTGCTGCCGGACGCGTGGAATTGCGAGTGCCTGTAGCCACCGGAGTCGGCGGCTGATTCGTGCTCGGCTTTCGACGTCGATGGTCTGGCGCCGTAGGATGGGCGATATGGTTGCGGCATGTCGCCTCGCATGATGAGAGACGCGAGCATGTCAGTCTGCTTCATTTGCTCGGCAGTCATTTTCGGCGCCTCCATCAATGACCGCGCCAGCGTGCTCGGCAATCGTTGTTGATGGCCAGGGGCGGAATGCTGATCCTCACTACTGCCGTGTTCCGGCGTAAGAGCGCTTCTCAACAAATCCATTTTGATTGCGCTAGGACCAGGGCTGCTGGAAGAAGTTGACGAAGTGGCGTCCCCTTCCTGCTCTCGGCGCATAGCGCGGAATTTCTTATGAGGCCGGTAGGCTTCGTCCATCAGCAAGTTCGTGGTGATGAGCGGCGGCGCCTGCAGCGCCCTCTTCAGCACTGGCATGTCTTCGGGGGACGATTCCCCGCCGGCGGACAATTCTTCCTGCGAAACCCTGCCGCCGCATTGCGGGCTGTTGCAAGCAGACGCTGGTCGAGATGGACTCAGTTTACCCCCTAGTCGCGCAGCTTCGCAGCCGGATTCGATCCCGGAGTCAGTAGGGGAATCGAGTTTCCGCGGCACGTACAGCATCGTCTCCACATTTTCAGCGTGAGCAATGGTGGACGATGGGGCTTGTGCTTCGCCATTCATACACATGCCGAGAGCCGCAGTCATGCCGTGACATTGTGGCAGGATGCCACGTGGGTCATGCTGCTGCGTTTGTTGCGGCGGAAGATGTCCGGATTCGGACGTCCGCGGACAGGACAACCGACTGATTCCAGAGGACATGGTGAGGACTGAGTGGCAGTCCCCGGAATACGCGGACTCGTTGCTGCACAGGGATCCCACGGGTGATTTCACACCTTCCTCGCTGATGAGCGAGTGCGGGGATCGCGGAGAAGCGCATCCCGAGGACCCGGAACAGTGGCCGGAGCTCGTGCTGCTGTTGCTGCTTAGGCCCTGGTGCTCAAACTGTTCCCAGCCCTTTCCTCGCATCGGCGGCTCGGCCAAGTCATTGCCCTCGTTGGGACAACCTCCGCGGGAGTAGGACTCAGGGATGCCTGATTTCATGTCGACGTCGGTCTCGGGTTCGGCATCCGTCTGGCATTGCTGCTGTTGCTGTTCCGTCATCTTGAATGCCAGCAGCTTTTCCGAGTGCAGGGTGTTGAGCGTGCGGAGGTCCGGGATTTTCTTCACGAGGTCATCATACATTTGAAGCGCCTCTTCCTCGCTGATGTGCTCCGATTCGCATTTTTCGCCGTTGTTCGACGCAAAATTCGGAATTTTTCGTCGTTGCCTCAACGACTGCTTTAGTAACGACGTCATTTTGCTGCAGATGCGGTCAACCAGCTCAGGATTTCTCAAACCCGGTCGGTCTAAAAGAAGAGAATAACGCGATTTGTGAATACAATGTAATTTTCCACTTCTGATCATGAGTGTCTGAGTGACAAGGTTTTTATACTAAACAGTCCTTGGAATCAAATCAAGTTGACAACTCCCAAAATACAGATGAGTCATGCAATAAGCAATGTTACTAGAGCACACATAATGCCATCAGTGAATATAATGTGCCAAGTACAGTACCACACTGTATTTACTCAAGTACCAAAGACCCTCGCATAAGGCGCGCAAACCAGTTTTCAATAAAATTTTTCAAAATTCAAGAATCAACAAAATTTACGGTATTCTCAGATATAAGAAGAATTCAACAGCTTTTAATTTGCTTCTCTTCGACAACGTATCTCTAAGGTTATTCAAGGATAATGCTTCCAGGAATTATGGAAAATGTTTACTTCAGTGATGAGGACATCAAATTAAGCTGAGAACTTTAAAAATAAACTTATCCGATAAACAAATAAGGTTCTTTAAGTCTATGGATGAAGTTTGTCATTAGGGATCTAACGCAACAGTGGAATGGCAAAATTCTTGGATTTCACGTAACCAAGAACATTTGCGTAAAAGTTCAAAGCCATTTTACCGAAGTCCGCAACGCCTCAATAACGCAAAAACTTCGAACGGGCTGAGCCGAGATGAATGGTGAAATGTTTTACGTCAGGGTCAAAACTGCAGGATACTTTCCGTTCGAAGGAGCATTCCGGATTAGGAAAATTAATGACTTCATTCGAGCATCAACCAGTAGTGGTAATGAATGCGACTTTTAAATTTGCTTTCAAGATTCTAAATGTTCATTATTCTTATTTTTCGAAGTTACGATTGCATGTACGCAACTGAAGGCACTTTGGGGTATTGTATAATGATATTCACAAACATGAATACTGACCAGGCGAAAGTATGACGATTGCAGAAAATAAAGCCAATTCAGCATCGGACAGCTGGAGCGTGTTGAGACGATCAGCGAAGTCGAACATGGAATCCATGAGAAATCGAGCGTTACCGAACACCCCGCCGTTAGGTCCAGGTCCACCGAAGCTCTCACGTTTTACTACCATCCCGTTTAAGCTGACCATCGTATTTGTCTGAGAGGCGAAAAAAAAAGAAAGAAATCAGATGGACTCATGATGGGATCCCGAGAAGGCCTGATTAAAACTAACGGTCAGTAGCCCGGTTTTCAACTGACCTGGGAATCAAATAAGCCAGCGAGCCGCAGAAGCAGTACTTCGAACACACCCGCCTTCAGCAGAGTAACTTGGTCCTCCTGTACCAGCATGGAGAACCCGGGGAGTCTCTTGGCGAACTCCACCACACCTCGAATGGCCGGAGAGAACCTCTGCGAGAATTCTTCACCGACCCGAGGAATTTTCCCTCAACGAGTTTCATGCATCTTGAGTCTGTATCATTCGTCCCTTTTTCATGCGCTAAAAATGCTGAAGAACCTACCGCGTCGGCGGCAGTTTTGCTTCTCGTAATTTTTCTTATTTTTGTGTGTGTGTATAAACTGAGCAGTTTTTATAACGCGAAGAAAAATGGGGGAGCTTAATAATGGCGTGAAAATGCTGAGGGGGATTTGAGGAGATGAACAATTCAAGCAGCGCAGTGCTTTTCAAAGAGCAAAATCATGTCGGGGATCATTTCTTCAGTGGCTCGGGCAAATGCTTGTACAGCACTGTAATTTCGTTGGGGGTCGTCGCTAGATGGAAACAGACACGTACCATTTGCCCGTTCGGGGCGCTGGTGTTGGGATGCAAGTGCGCCTGTTCGTGGGCGCGCATGAGGAATGTTGGGAGACGGTCCTGAGTGAATGGACACGTGTCCCTGTGTGCACCAGTGACAGTAGACATCAATGAGCTGTCGTCCGCAGCCAATGCTGCGTCTATCGCCTTTTCCTGCGACTTCCAAGCGACGCTTTGCATAGCAGCGAGTATTTTCGCCTTTTCCCTCTTCGGGACGCGTCCGAATCGGACAGCTAAAAACGACCAAACAAATTCGCGTTCGATATTATCCTGCGTCTCTTGCAGACAGCACAGAATTAAAAATTCGAACGGTATATCATGAGCAATTGGCAAGTGCCGAAGAATTACTTGAGCATGGACGCAAGGTATCCAAAAAGCATTCGAATGTCTTTTTCTCTCGTAAATCATGCGATACATCTCAGATTCAAGTTTTGATAGGCAGCGAACCTCATAAAGCACATTGGATATATGACTTGGAAGGAGTTCTATATCGTAATTTAACCTCAGAACCAGAAAGTCCACTTCGGAAAATCAGGCAGAGGTAGCCAGAATCGTAAGCCTCGACCAAAATTCACGAATTTAATTATACAGGCAACGTCTATAGCTCTACGCAAAACAGAATGTCGAAAAACTGGGGATGAGATTGCATACGGGCTGTACCCGAAAGTAACGTGACTGTCTGACCCCATTATCAAGGTTGAGGATGAAATAAAATCAATTAAGTGCTAACAATGAACGACCTTAACTTCATGGAATTCGACCATTTGATGTCACGTCTCCGTTTTCAACTCTTTCACAAAAGACGTAAGGATTACGTCTCCAGACTGGAATGAGAGTATTTCTTATGCCATACCTACGCTAAGCGGGGATTTTGTAATGCCGGGTCAATTTTGGCATTTTGAATGGACCATAATCTTACCCAACAGGTCTTCGGAAAGCACCGTTACGGTTACGGAATTTACGACAGAGGAAGCGTACGTACTGCAGAATACGAGCTCGCCTTGTTACTCGCAAGACCCGATGAAAACTTTCCGAGAAACAGTACTTGCATCGCATCTCACAAAACGGAATAACAATGTGTATGTGGATGAAGCAACTCAGTGGTTGGGACATTTGCTGGTTGCGACATCTGCTCATTCATGCATTGAGGGTAAGAAACTTGCGAAGTTCGGCCCACGGCTATTAATTGAATCGAGGGGAGCGGGTTCGAGAAAAATAGGTCAACGTCGTAGCCCCATGGGTCGACGACCTTACATAAGAGGGCGGGAATGCGCGGGAAACCTGGCAGAGCTGCCATTTCACAATACTGTACTGTCCTTAGAATACCTGCGTCTCAGCTCATATTCTTCACGTGCTCGAAAACCAGCAAGAAGAAAAAAAGAGAAAAAAACGCTGTAAACCCGAATGCTTCGCATCGACAATACAGCATCGCATCATGAACTATGTTTTTACTCACCATCTCGACTCATCCCGACAGCGATGCATTTTTTCAGTCGACAGTACTGACATCGGTTCCGATTGATCCTCAGAATGGAACACTGCTGGTTCTTGGTGCAAGGTCGGTATTGGATTTTCTGCTGGATGCTCCGGCGAAAGAAGCCCTGGAATAAAATGGAACGCCAAGACGTGAGGTCAACGCCCTCGGATCTGGTATTATACTCTATATCGTAGCGCGCGATTCAGGTCACCGCCCGACTTCCATGGAATTCATTCCCTCCGGAGGTCGGTGCTCCTTTTCATCTAGAAACTCCTTCACGGTTTTACGGAGACTAGCTTCAGAACAAGCGAGCAGTAAATAGGACAGAAAACCAACAACCTCCTTTCTTCATCCCCTGCTTAATGGAAATCTTTTCTTCTTTAGATGAAAAACCTGAGCTTCCTTCTGAATCCGTGCACAGTATTTTCACCTATCTTCGTAAATTCGCGTAGAGCAATATAACCGTGCTCCAGTAATTGCTCGTCATCCGCTAAAGTTTACAATCCCATTGTTCTTTTCCTCTTAGAACCGCACATTCAATCGAACGTCCGTGGAAAACATGGTATTTCACGTAACTGCAGTTTCTCTCAGGAAGAGTAGTAAACGGTAAGCCGTTTTTTCGCGATCGCATGATAAGCCCCACCATGATTTGGGGTAATGATTTCTGAGGAAACACGTACATGTCACAAAAATAGGAAGTTTGAGGGAAATGTATCTTACGTAGTAAGAAAATCTGCCGATTAACTAGAAGAATCTTATTGCAGGTCGTATGACTAAAGTACTTTATGCGCAGTACAGATGAGCCTGTGATTTGGATTAGTATACTGTATCTCAATAATAGGTCACCACAAAGGCAGCGTGTTCTTATAGGCCGTACCCAATTCTTAGCTGTCATTCGAGTGGAAACTAATGCGGCCCATACACCGAGAAAATCTCGTAATTTACCACAAATTGGAGTTCCCGAAGTTTCAAAAATAACAAAAATATAAAAAAGCTTCCTTTCTTCCAAAAGACAAGGGACACTTGTAAGGCAGTCTCTGACTTGGGAAATGATCTAGGATGAAGTGGTAATGATGGCTGTTCTTGTCGCCACACAATAGCACCATCTCTAGTACAGTACTCCGAACCGAAGAGATTAGACAGCAGTGCGACCTGCACTCCATTACCGAGCGAGCGAGATGGTACTTATGTGTGTTTCTTTTTTTATGGGGGTGGTTGCGTATAAACGGGGTATTTTCGGGATTTGAATCAATGAAACCTGTTTACCTCCTGAGCAACCGGCGGTTTCCTTCCGCCAAATGAGTGCTGCTCGTCCGACGTTTTCGCAGGGGGATCGAGATCAACGCTCGGGCACTCGCACTGTTGATTGGGCTCCGTGGCGTCCACGGCGACTCGAATTTCTTTTTCGAGTAAGGAAACCGCACAAACTTTCTCGTCCACCGAACCCTCGAGACATTCTCCTTCTGGAGATGATCGCGAAGTCGACGATGATTCGCGATCCTGCGAGTCACACCGACAATCGCAGTCGTCGGCGACATACGATAGCCCGTTGTCATGTTCGTCGTCAGGATCGTCGACAAACGGTAGCTTGATGTTCTCAGTGGACGTGTGAAATGACCAATTCAAGTTTGGGTCTATGTTGAAAATTTCAGCGGGGCTTTTCGCGTCCGTCGATAGACACTCACTCCACCCCACTTTTCCATCCCCTTGCGTCACGATCATCTTGTCAGACAGCTTCAGATCGCGATTGTCAATCTTAATTCAAAATTGAGGAAATTCCCCTCCTCCGAATCACCGATCTAGTTTTCTTCCTCTGCGGCACTGCCACGATGAAAACTTCGCGCTTGAGTTTCAAAATGTTTCTCGGCTTCAGCGACGGATAAAAAGCGATTACACGCAGCTCTGCTTTCTTCTCCTTGCAGTAGAAAAAACAATCGTTGGTTCAATAAACTGTTACCGCTCGAACAGGGTCAACGACACAAAGGACTTGATGACGATACGTCGACACACTTCATACTTCGGAACCGACATTTTATACGCTTAGCATTAAGCACAGCGCGGAGTTGAAATCAAAACAAGTTACAGTACGTGGTCTTAATCCCTGCTATCTAGAAGGCAAGCAATGTCTCCGAATAAGGACCCCATCACATTTACTCGACTAAACTCATTACAGAGCGCACTTTCTTAATGAGGAACTGTATTGTATTTCGCTTGTAAAACACTGACGTAGCTCAATCTCATTATTTTCAGCTAGTGACCGTTAAACGTGGCCTAAATTTGCTATAAAATCTGATTCACACGGACTTGCATTCACAACATGAACCTGACTCAGAATTTCCTAAAATATTACGGCATTCACGTACTGAATTATCATGAGCTATTCAGTGTGCCAGCTGCTTATCGTAACTCCAAAGCAAGCTGATGCTTCTGAGCCTGAAATCCTGCCACTGAAAAACAGCCTTCAGGCTAGACGCGACTGCGATTGAAGGCACATACTTCACTTCTGTTCAGGCCGCATATTTATACTCAGAATCGCCAACTCTTCTCGGCATGTGCTTTTTAAAAATTAAATTGCTGCGCAGAATCAAAATGTGGCCGCAGCTCGTAGATACGATAATTTAAGTACTGTGCTGTACTGAATATAGAAGCCCGAGGCGTTATACTGTAGCACAAACATCACTTATGTGCAGAACTGTGCAACGCCGAATTTTCAACTTCAGATCAGCCGAATGTTTTTGGAAGAACATTAATTTGCCATTGAAACAGCCACACAAGATCAACAACATTCTCGTACAACCGGTAATTACAGCCCAAAACTCGGGACGTTCAAGTACTATACGACAGGCTTCGAAATCACAGTGCGCCGAAAATTCATGAGCGAACACTTGATTGAATTCAGGTGTCAATTGCCGATGACACACTGGGATCAACGGTTCATCACACAGACGCAAAAGGGAGGCCTGCGAGTCAGCGTCAGCTTCGCGAAGGAGCAGGAGGAGCAATAGTGGGCGCAGCGTCGCGGAGCAGGCGAACACAGCGAGCGCGGAGGAACCAAACCAGGACGCGCGGAATAATTGAGAGCGGGGGAGAGAGAGACACTCGGCGCGCGGACAGCCGCAGAAAAAGGGCCGGGGAGTCAATGAACTACGGATATTCTAGGAAAATAACTGTACCACTCGGCTCGGCTCGCGACGAACGGTTCGGCCAAAATGGGGCCACAGACGGAGTTCCAGCGTGTTCGCTCCGCTAATTGCCAACATCAGTCCACTTTCAATGGCTTTACGGTACTTGATCTCTCGTGCGCAGTATCCGCGGAATTCACACGGGTAATTGACGAAGAACGGGAGAACTGTTCGTCGTGTAAACTGAGCGGGGCGTCGCTCGGACAGTAACTGCCCCGTTTCGCAGGGAGCTCGGGGATCAGGAACCGGGAAGGTACGAATCCAGCGGGGTTATACGACTACCCTCTGCCCCCCCCCCCCCCCCCCCCCCCCCCCCCCCCCCCCCCCCCCCCCCCCCCCCCCCNCTCCCCCCCCCCCCCCCCCCCCCCCCCCCCAAACATGTTATTGTACAGGTACTGTATGGAATCTCTTGCTAAATTCACCTCGTTCTTGCATCTGCCACAGCAGGAAGCACCAAGTGAAAGACAACCTTTAAACCGATAAAAGGTGGGTTTCGGAAAATCATATACTGTAGCGTCGTAAGTGAAAAAAATGCATGAGTCTTGGTTGTCCTTTTCTGTTTGGAAGGCATCCTGGAAAAAGTGTGGGTACCAATTTGTCTGTTTCCAAAACATTTTCCTCAGCATATATGTTCCATGGATTAACATTACGCCGGAGGCGCTTCGGGGAATGACTTACTCATGATGATGTGTATTTTGTTCTCGATTGATTGATGAGAGATCAAAGCTACAGTAATAGGTCTACGCGAATTGAACCTTCCTGGTTTGTTTTTGCGAAGGACTCAAAGTTTGATTCGCTTTCGCCTCTGAATTGTATTTTACGATATATCGAATTCACCATAATCTTACATTTCATAGCGACTCCAGATTCTCCACGTTGAAAAAATCATAGATTCTGACCAAAACGGTACTTTGAAAAGTTCGTATTGTTCAATACAAAGCCGAACTACGATTTTAGATGAAGTTGCAGAATAGTGAGAATGCAGTAGTGGTTCTTTTGGATGCGTTCAAAAGATCAAACCGGCAATTGAAGCATGCGTAAAATAAAAACTTTCCGTATTCTGTAGAAATTGAGTGCAAAGAAAGTGCGTCTCGTGTTCGCGGGCAAATTAATTTTTTTTTTTCAAGAATGAGGTAAAATACTACTATATGGAGATGCATGATGCATCTCATGATCGTTTTTTATTCGCGTAACGAGGAGTAATCACGGTATGCGCAGGGTTTTTGGGTAGACGAGATACTAAAGCTGCACCGCCAGAGGGATGATAACACTCCTGTCAGGCGCAGGCGGCTTTCTTCTCTCCCTCTAACGCGTGCGTGTCGATGACACACTCGCTACCTATTCTCGGAAATTACGCAGCACACCTGCCCCTTGGTTCGTTCTCTGAGAAACGCTGGGAATGAGTTGCTCACGCCATGATGCGCAATTTCCTGCACACCGAGAGCATTCACCCGCTGCCCCGCCTGAATCCACAAGCACGATTTCACGGAAGAAGCGAATCGCAGCAGTGATGAAAATCAGGCATTCGACATGTCAACTTGTTGACAATCACTCGGAAAAAATGCATGGATTCTGGTTATACGTCATGCTTACGCTGCGTAGTTGAGGACTGGTGAGGACAGACACAAGGGACAGGATGCCTGCCTCTCTCTCTCTCCTCTTCTCTCGCTCTCTCTCAAGAGTACGTGTCAATGACACACTAACTGCCCTTCCACGGGAACTACGCGGAGCCAACGTCCGCTAGTTTGTTCCATGAAAAACCCTGAGAATGATTCACTCTTCTTAAAATCTGATACCGCAGCTGATGTGCCAAAACATTCACCATCATTTACGTGGATGCACAGATTTTCGGCAAAGGCCATACTAAAACAGCACCATTGAAGCGCAGGCTGCTTCAATGCCTCTCCCTGTTTCCATCTTCCAACCCCTTACGAGTGCGTATCAATGACACACTCTTTAAATAGTGTCGCAAACCACGCACAGCAGGTTCTTCCTGCGATAAAATTTATCGAACATTTTCAGAATTTGATACCTGTAGGCAATTCGTTGACCATCACGCAGGTATATTCATGAACTGTATACAAATGTCTTACTAAGCCAGCAATACACTGAAGGAAAGCCCAAAATAAACACGCAGAATGATTAATCTCTCTTTCTCTCTCTCTAAATAAATAAATAGAGAAATGCTCCTCTCCCGTATGAGTACGTGTCAATGACACTCATTACCAATTCTCAGAAACTATGCGGAGTATATTGCCATTATGGCTTACTAAAAGAAATATGAGTTTAAAACTCTCAAAATACGACAACTGCGGTCCATACGCCAACATGTTGACCATCAAGCAGAGGGATAGGTGATGGATAGATCCTTGGTATGAATACCATACCTCAGCAGCAACACTGAAAACAAGGCGCAGGATGCTTTGTTCTCTCTCCCCACCCTCTCTCTCTCTGTCCTCCTCTCCAATAAAAGGAGTGCGTGTTGATGACACACTCTACCTATTTTCAAAAACTACGCATCGCACCTGCCCCCTGGTTCGTGTTCCAAGAAACGTTCAGAATGAGTTACTCACGCCATGATGCGCAATTTCCTCGACTTGGAGAGAGCATTCACCCGCCGCCCCGCCTGAATCCAATCCCCCCCCCCCCCCTCCTCCTCCGCCTTCGCAATAACGCTCGACTGAAGTTCGTGTCGACGAGCGAGCGATGAGGCGCAGCCGAGCGGGGATGACGAAATTCCGATGTTGTTTCGCAACGCGACACGGAGCACCGGACAGCGAAACACGCCGAGTGCCCCAGCGCGGCTTCTCACGACACAGGGGGCAATAAACTCGGAGCATCGAGATCAGTCAGAAACGAGGGTGTAACTAAACAACTTATACCCCCCCCCCCTCCCCGCGCTACCACTTAAAATTGTCCGCATTTGGACGTGTACTTAGGACAGCGTTTCTTGAAGAGCGTTTGCTGACGCTTCCTATCTCAGCCGACAAGGAACATGTCTCTGAATATTCAGTTATTCGCACGATCGATGCCGATTCGTAGAGCCTTTTAATAGGATTAAGTGGATTTTTTACGAGTGCCATTTAAAATAATTATGTTCCGCTCGATTAGTCTACACTCATGAAGTAATTACCAGCAAGTGTACATTTGAGAAGCCTCGGGTTGAAATTGAATTTCAATGGCGCTTTCGCACATGGATAACTGTAGTACACAGGGTATTGCCCTGAGTCCCAATCAAATAGGGTAATAGGCCATCAAAGCCATACCACTACCAACCCGACCATTGACGTCGATTTCTTTTCTTTCATATGAATCTCGGATAACTACATTAAAGTGCTTAAATTGACAGCATTTCGCACACGATGCTTCTTTCTTTACCAAGCTTCAAATACTGTACTGCACTGTATTACTATTGATTCTGAATCTTTCCTCGAAGCTATTGTTCAAATTACATCGTATGGAGTACGGAGTACATTTCCACGAGTCGTTACCGGAACACGATGTTTTAAAATTTAAATCCTCTTGCACTCCATTTATTCGCTGCATACCTTCACTAGACGTCAGTATTCCATCACTAGGAATCAGGACTATTTCCAACTTTTATAACATTTTGAAACCTTGCGCTAAAAAGTTAATTAAAACACATTTCTCCAAATTGACAAGCAGTTAACCAAGAACTAAATACGAAACCCTATCCATAGGTCAAGTAGGTCATATCGCTATACTACATCTAGTCAGCCTGTTAATTGCAGCTTCTCGTCTTCAATCCATCCGTGCCTTTAAATAACTTTTCGAAATGACTCAGCATCCAATAAAAGTTTCCTCCCAAGATTCAATAATGGACTCAAT